TAACGTGTAATTAATTAGCATATACTGTTGTAATCTGTTTAATCATCACGATCTCCCAATCAACTTATTATCTTAAATCTATCTATTTTAATTTAACACAGCATACTGGCCACCCAAAATTTATCGTTGCTCTTAATATCGTGTATTAAATTGAATTTCCTATTGATTCCCACAAAAACATTTACTGTCTTCGGAAAACTTACTAAGTTCCGATACATACGTGGGCGAGTTGTCTGATGGATTTGACCAATCTGTCAAGGCGCTCATCACATTTGATGATCTAGTTGATCCAGTTGACCTTATTTTTTTAGTAATAATAATTATCAGTAAAATTTTTAATTGGAGTTTTGGGAAATGTACAGAAATTCGTATCTCTTTGTACTTTGATTGTAATTTGTTGTAGAACTTTGTTATATCTTTATTTAGGTTAGATGTTGCATGACTCAAATTTAAAAAAAAATCGATAATAGAGATTTAAATGCGTTATGCTTCATGAATCTGCGACTTTGTATGCCTTTTCTTCTTATATTCCTTAAGGCGGTTGCCCCGCAGGGCAGCATCCTTGTACCCTTCCTAGCTGATATTCCTGTTTTCTCTAATAACACTATGTATGCTCCATGACATTTAATCGTGATCCTTTCTTCTAAGTCTTAAAACCTAACTCTATTTAAATCTTATCCAGTCTTGGTCTCGCAAATGAAAAATGAAAATGAACGAATCTAAATCTACTCACCACCTATACATTCTGAAATTCCACTTGCCCTAAGGTTTATTCAATGGAAAACCCATTCCAACTTGAGATAGTGTGCCCTACCTGGGACTATACATTGACAAAAGACTAACTTGGATACCCATACAAGACTGAAAAGACAGGAAACTAACCGACTTTACAAATTACTCCTTAGAGTACTTGACCATAGATCTAACTTACACCATACTAACCAACTCACCATTTATAAGACCCTCCTGAGACTGATATGGGCATACGGAATTGAAGTATTGGGATCAACGAAAAATTCTAATTCTTACAGAATCCAATCCATCCAACCGAAAATAGTTTAAAAAAATGTCCCTTCTACGTTTCAAACTTAACAATCCTCCAAATCCTATTTGCAATTGACATTATTAAATCCTGATACCAAAACGTCCACAAAAATTTAAACAATTAATTAAGGTTTTTAGTTGAGATAAAAAAGTCAATGGCACGAGCGGGATTCGAACCCACGATCTTCGGCTAGATGCCGGCATCTCAACCGGTCACGATTGACTTTTTTATCTCAACTAAAAACCTTAATTAATTGTAATATGTTAATTGGTCAAGCGAACCTCGAAATTAGTGAATTTAAAAAATTTAAACCTTCACCCTAATCCACTTTTCCAACAGCTTTCTTGTCTCAGCCTTCCTGGAATTCCAACACGTCGTTTGGAGAGGTTGTGGCCGAGAGATCTCTTGCGAGATTAATTGACTCAATCTGAGGGATAGTCACTGCTAGGTGATTTCTCTTATCAAGTGTAACATGCTAGAATGTCTCTATGTCTGCTACCTCCTTCGCTTGTTACGACTAAATAATAATTAAAATACGATGATTTTTTATGACACAAATAATATCCTTCCAAATTAATTTATGATTATTATGATTAATTATTATGATTGGCTATAAGAATAGAGCTAAAGTTGTAATAACATTATGTATTGTTATTAATTGGTCAAGCGGACCACGAAAAAGTAGTGAATTATGTATTGTGATATCCCTCTGGGATGTAGTAACGTAGTTTAAACGTTTCTTATCGCATTGATCTGCCTATAATTGCTTTTTGTCTGTCAGATCTAGCACTGATGATGGCAAGTATAAGCAAACCATATATCTATACATCCAAATAACAAAAATTTTTATTATACGTTTTATATTTTCTGGTACCTATATTCAATTTTTTAAAATCTCGCTGAAAGTTTTGAAAACAAAAATCAATTATTAAAATAGTGTGTGGTGATTAGTGACCGTTAATGGATAATTATTCAGAAATCGTGAGATGTATTTGTTAAATGTAAACAATGTTTTTATATCCCAGGTTCTGAAGATGATCTCAATAAAGATTGAAAGTTGGCACGATAAAGAAAATGTTTAATCCTTTTTAAAAAAGATTGAACTCCTCATTCACCCCATCATTTATAATTTCTAAGAAAATGTTTTTCTGAAACCTACATCACACCAGACCGCATCTCACGATTTCTGAATAATTATTCAAAATACATTTTTAACAAATTACAAGTTCATCATCATCAAAATTCCTCAAAACTAATTACATGCCCTATGAGATTTTACTAAAAAGGAAAAAAAATTCCGTAACTTGTCGTTTTCGTATTATCTATTGGCACGACAAATGAATGGGTCTTTAATTACAACTTTCCATGTAAATTAGGGTGGATTTTCTGTTTACACAGAGTTCCACGACCGGATGTTGTGCATGAAGGGATGCGGCTGTATAATAGACAAGCAGTCGAACAGTCTTGTAAATAAAAGGGGTTAAAGAACTTTGGCGTGGGGTAGGTCGTTGTTCTGGAAGCGGTGGGGTCCGGGAAAAAGGGCTTTCGGGAGGGGGTCGACGCGCCGAAGGGTTCGATGAACCTGGACGAACGACGCATTTTTACCCCCTTCGATTCCCATTTTAATTGATCCCAGCCCTTCCAACGATACGTACACATGAACATTATTTCCAGACTTGTTTTTCCGTCTGACAAACATACATTGGCCGCACGCCAGAAGACTCCTTGCCGAATGTGTACCTTCATTCAAACTTTATTTGTCTTAGGGACTGCACGTTTGAAATGATATAAGCAATAGTATATTGATTTGCAGTTATTGTTAGAGTCGAGGCAACTCTGGTCTGTTTATGAATTTATGAGTTGGCACGGTATCTACAATGAGAGGCAAAAAACAAAAAATGTAGCCACCCTTAATATTTTTAGTTATCTCTTTGATAACCTCCATTGATTAACTTAGAATAATATTTGATCCGTTTTAAAGGATTAGAAGTAAATAAAACACAGATAAAAATTTCCCACTTGAGTTTACAATTGGATTTTATACATAAATCTTTGAATAGCTAAGATGATATGTAGGAAATAAATTGCCTTTTCACAATAGACCTCTCTTCCACAATATCTTCTTTAGTGGTTTTTCTGAAAGCTTCTTTTTAATGTTCCGGTGGTTTGATTTTTTTAAGTTGTACCATTTTTAAGTTTCGAATTCATTTGGGTGATAGTTTTAAGTGATAAAGATTCGGCTAGAATCATAACATTGTTGGAAGACGGAAGAAGTTTAACATTCCCAGAACAACTGTCCGAAGGGTGTTCCAATACTACCAAAATACTAGAGATTACTCAAGAAGGCATGAAACTGGACGCCATCGTGTCACATCTCAGAGAAAGATGGAGAAAAACAAGAGAGCGATATATTCCGCAACATTTTCAATCAGGAGAAACTGTGAAGGTGGTGGTGTTATGGTTTGGGCGGGCAATTTCTATGGAAGGTTGGACACATTTGATCTTCATCGACGGTTCCCCCTTCGCTACGCGATACATTGATGATATGTTATCAGAAGATGTTGTTCCGTATATGCCACTAATTGGCAGCCGTTTTATTTTTATGCATGACAATGCAAGGTCCCACACAGCTAGGATCGTGGTTGCTTTCTTGGAACGGGCTTCAATTCAATGTTTGAAGTGGCCTGCATGTAGTTCAGATTTAAACCCTATGGAACAACATTGGGACAAATTGTCAATGCAATTTATTATTATTTCACTTTCTTTGTAAATATATATACTGTCAAGGGAAAAGGTTTCAATTGTTATTATTAATTGGGTTTCAAACAATTGTGTTTCTCGCACAGTTTCAAGTTAGATGAAAAGCCGAAAAAATGCTCAATCGGCAATATCTCTTTAACTGAAGAAACCTTCAAGACAAGATAATTGATGGCGTTGTTTGTCCAAAAACTGACGGGGTAAGCATATTGGTTCAGCGGTTAGTCGCGTCGCTTTTTATGATTTATCTTCAACTATTTCTGAAGAGTAAATCCTCGATATCTCCATAAACTTTTATACGCCATTCGTTGAAACCCGCACCAGTTTTATCTTGGTGAGGTTTCCCATATGTTTTTTTCAACTGGGAAAAAGTTGTGAAATTGAATAATACGACAGGCAAGAAACAAAAGCCTGAGAGTACAAGAGGGCCTCACTTTGGAATACGGAAGTACTTAACAGCATCTCCAAGGAAAAACAATGGTTTCACTAATCTAGTTCATTATTTAACAGCGATCTAATTAAAAAACTGTAATTTTTTAAATTCAGAATTTTAAACTTTTTTTGATAAAAAATAAACTTTAGCAATAATGGCATATGTAATTTGATCCTTACTGATCATCTTGGTACCTACATGTTGATTACAATAATGTCTCAGACAAACTGAAGATCACGAAATACTGCATAATTCATTATCTCACTATCTAATTTAATTATTTTTATTTTAAATGTTCAGTTGTGTTGTTAGTGTGTATATTCCATTCCCCTTGTCGATGTAATGACCAATTCCGCTGATCAATGTAAATGAAACTAACCATTCGTAATTATTTTTCACGGTCGGCATAAATAATTTTGTTGAAGCAGAAAAGCCAACTTAATTGTTGTACTTAATATGTTGTAACTTGATGTTGTACAGAAACATGTTTCAAATAAAAAAAATTCCGACCATCCAACATACAATAATGGTTTCCGAGTGAGTGTCTACTTTGTTGACTTTATAAAGCCTTTCTGCAAGTAAGAATTTAACAAAATCCAGCCCAACAACAATATAAAACAATAACTTTAGTATAAACCATCATTTTGCTAAATATAACATTTCATTAGCACGACAAAATAGCACGGTTAAACTGAACATGAAACTTATAATTTTGTCCAATTAAAAAAAGGTCTTGGAAAGTGATGACTTGCCATGTGTTTTCCATGTGTTTCAAAGTTTTACGGTTTTACTTTATTGGGACTCTACCATAACTAATATAAGATAGAAAGTAGTTTTAATTTTATAGCGACTTGTATTGATGTAGAGTGGAGAATGTAAGCGTTATTTATTTATATTTTGAATTTAAATAAATCCCATTTTCTACTGTGCATGTCGTTTTAGAGAATTAACAGCTCAGCCGGAGGCAAGATTTACCAAGTAGAGAGTAAAGGAAAACTATCGATTTTATTATAATACAAAATGCAGTTTAATATAAGAAGAAGCACATACAACTCATCCTATCGTCAAGACGGGATTGATCAGGCAATGAAATTGTACGTAATCAAGCACACATACATATGTTTTTTAAAGAACTCTTTCATTTCTAAAATTGTATTAAACAATATCTTTTAAAATGTGTATGCATGAGTAACATTGTATAATCACATGGAAGGTAAGGATCAAACCCCAACGAACTTTTTTTCACTTTGGCGTAAATCACCTTCCAGGTACAGCGTGTTAAAAGGCACGTACAGAACTTTTAGCACTCGGCATTCGAAGAGATTTTTAGGCGTCGAAGAATTCCCACTGAAATTCTGCAGGAACTCTTGCCCCCACGACAAACTCCCTCTTTTATTTCTGCGATTTGACCATTCCAAGGACCTACCATTGGCAAAAGCGAAACTGACAAGTTTCTGGAACTTTTTGACCAACGTTGGGATGCAAGGACCTGCGGTTAAGAAAATGAAGAAATCTGGTAAATAGGACAAACGAACATATAAAAATATAAGCTGGATAGTTTTAAAATTACTACCTTCCAAGAACCTTAGTAGATATTCCAATCCGCCTTAGAGTAAACCACAGACTATTGAAACAGGGACATCTACCATTGGACCCAAGATAGCGCACAGAGAAGTTCTCGTACCTATTACCTCATTTTTCACAGCCAGTTGAGGACACGCCCTTCTAACGTAGATGTGTCTCCACATTTTGTGTTTACTTTCACTACTCAACTCACCATTTATCAGCTAATATGAAAAACCTGATGAATGTTTGGTTAATGACTTGCCTATTAAGACACTGTACTGCCATCGTAGGTAAACTCACTACTCCCTGCGAAAAGTTTGTTGTACTGTAAGCAAATGTCAAAGACAGTGAGAATCTAAACGGACTTCATAACTGACAACGTGTGTATTTTACGTGTACATATTTTCAGGCTACATGCATAGATTTTTGCTATTCCTACTATTTTCGCGTCATCAATTTTGCGTTCCTGGGAAGTGAACAAGTGTTTAGTTTGGTTCGGTTCGGTTAGGTTGGTTTTTGTTTTGCTAGGAATAGCTAGATTAGGTTAGGTCAGGGTATGTTTAAGGACGATTTAGGTAGGGTTAAAGAGGATTAAGTAATCAATGTTTTTCTGTGAAGAATGAGCCAAGGTTTTATTTTCTTATATTAAACAGTGAAAATAACGTTAAACATTTTAAAAAATGTAGAGAGAAAGGGAAAAAAGTCTTTATTCTGGGACGGGGGCCTCCTAGGAATAACGAAGGCACTTGGATTAATAACATAATATGTTGTGAAATAAGCTGAAAGAAATCACTTAATCAAAATATAAAAAATAGTAATAATAGTAGCAATAATAAGAATAAAACAAAAATGCTAAAAGAATTTTCTGTCTTGTGCGAATTGCACAATGTGAACTTAAAAGTTGAGAAAAAGCTTTGTTCTGTAGCAAAAGGACTGTACTATGTTGTCCTTGTTTGGACGAAGTTGAGGTGCTGGTGCTGGAGGGATTTAAAAGAGGTAAAGGGGGACGACTTTGCGGATTAGCAAAAGAAGAGCATTCCAGATATTTGTGGCTCGAACTAAGAAGGACCGCTCAAATGTGGAGGTTTTATATCGGGGAGATATAGATCATTGGAAAACGTGCTGTGTTACTAAAGATTTGAATTGAAGTAGCCTGAAAATATATTGAGGTCGAAAGGAGTTTACGGATTGGTAAAGGAAGGAACCAAGGAAATACTTCCTTTGGAAAGAGCGATAAAGCCAGGTAGGTCTGAATACAAGTGTGATTCGCTGGGCAATCGGGAAGTGCCGTTAATAAATCTGACCCAACGATTCATCACTCTTTCAGACGCTTAGCTTGTTCCCCCGAAAGAACACCATAAGAGATACAGCTGCAGTCGAAGCGGAGAAACCTGAGGAAAGAGAAGAAGTTTACGCCAGGCGAATTGTAGAAGAAGCTAGGATCGGCGGAATTGAATGAAGGATGCAATACAACGTCGGAAAATTTTTGAAATGTGTCGTTTCCAGGAAAGGTTTTGGTCGAAGGTTTTTAAAAGTGGAGCAGAAGGAAATGGACTGGTTGTTGATGATAAAGAATGGTTGGGGGGAATGGATTTGGGGAGGTGACTAGATATCATAATAAAGGCTTTGGACTTCTAACATTTTATTCTAGGTTAGTTTTATGTGCACATTCGTATATGGAAGTCAGATCTTCCTAAATCCTGGCAGAGTGAAATGTGGTCAGAGAGATGGAAGGGCTTATAAATTTGGAAGTCGTCTGTATGTATATATGTGGTAATCGCAATGCTGAAAAGAGTCGGGGAGATCATTGATGTAAATGCTGAATAGGAGGGGGAAATGCTAGAGCCTTGAGGAACGCCTGGGAGAAATGAATGTTTGGAACCATCGGATGTACTAATGGAAAAAAAAATTTGGACGGGATTGATGAATGATCGTTGAAGTCGACGGGTTTGTTAAAATCAAGTATAATTAGTGTGGTAGTTTTTTGTTGTCAGTGTTTGTGTGATATTTATCAAATTTCACTGGCGAATGCCGAAACGCGTTTGAACTAACAAAAATCAGCGAGGCAGACCACAATAATAGGTAACTATAAATCAGTAGGTTTATCATTCAGCTCACCACAGTAGGAAATCAAACATCATAATGTACTAGCAGAAGCGTTAATGTGGCAAATGGTTAATAAACTAGTCATGATTATGGGTAAGGAAGGGGGGATAGATTATTGACAAGAAAGAGTAGAAAAAATATAACTTACAATTAGCTGAAAACAGAGATCAATAAAGATCATATATGCGTAAAACACAAAGAAAAAATGAAATAATTGAACTGTCATAACAAATGGCGGATTTAACTTTAATTTAAAAATATTAATTGTGACAAGGGTAACCAGAGAAATTAATAAAGTACATAATTGAAAAAGTAATAGTGTATCTAGTAATATGAGCTAAGATATGAAGCATGATGCTACTCAGGTGCAAAGTAGAACCAGAATCAGATGATGTCGAGTTCTGTTTGCTAATGATTGGCTACCCGTCTGCACGGGAACAATAACACGAAATTTAACCTTTTTGGCGGTTTTGCTAGTGGCTGCCATTTCCTCGCTGATTTAGATTGGCTTTCGATGTTAATTTAATTTCCTCTAATAATTTCATAAATTTTATCGAAATTATTATAACTCAATAGATGTTTGCTTTTTCTTTGTCGAGCATTCAAAGTTTATATTACAGTGGAATTGTTATCATATTAGTAATACTTCACTACTGTGTACTTTTAGTTATCAGTGAAGGAACGATGGAATCACAAATTCGTCCACAAAGTCCTCTTGTTCCCCGAAAAGAATCCTCTCAGCTTGAATGTTCACCAGCTTTCAAAGATCTAAAACAGATCTTCGACCTATTTCTGAGTAAAGGGTTGGACAGAACAGCCCTTTCTATTGACAATAATTACAGGTAAATAGTTGTTGAAAGATTTTCACTTCTTTTGTAGAAATCGTTAGGTATTGTTTGTAAGACAATTCGACTATTTTTCAGGGTACATCCATACGTCTGCGTGTGCCAGGAACCGTGCTGCAATTGCATCAATCATTCTCAGCACATCCACAAACTAGGACTTCATCATCAAAATGAAGCTTTAAACGAAGTAAGGAAGAACATAGCACCGGAATCACTTGTTCTTCAATTTAACGAAGGGGGGACGTCCTTGAAATCGTTAGTGAGGGAGCAATCACAGGTCAGCGGACAAGTTCCACTATCGCAGCCCATGATTCCTTTGGTGGACGAGGGAATCAAGAAGATGTCAGTTAAGACACTGAAAAGCGTGCTTGGAAACACTAATACCGATACGGATGCCGAAGTCGAGGAAGAAAAAGGTACCACTGGGAAAAAATCCCCACTGGATATATCCCCTCAAACCCAATCCAACAGGCAATCGTTCCAAAGCGATTTTACGAATATAACAAGCCGTGGTAGCATGCTAGCACCAGTAATACAGGAGTTGACAAACATAAACATTCAGGACAGTGTTAAACCCCTTAAGTGCAAACCTTCAATACGATCAATCCGCAGAAATTTCAAGGAGATCGAGCCCGCAAAATACCAAAACCTCCTCCTAGAGATGATCAATAACCCGGAGAACTGCCTTCTATCTCATCAGAGCAAGAAAGAACGAGTCCTGCGCCCTAAACTGGTTCCAAACGACTGCCACGCAAAGCGACCGAAATGGAGGATTTGATGGAATACGAATTGCAATTACTGAAAACAATGATGTCGCTTTCTCGAAAAGTCATTTCCGACTGACGACAATTGGCAAAGCGTACGGTTTATCAGTTATTTCTGTCATTTACTGCCAAAAAGAAAATACTCGAAAATGAATGCATCGACGAATGATGAATGAGTTGAAATTTTAAGTAAACAAATCTATCTCTACATGGTGTTATTGTTTGTATAGTCTTGAATCTCATGAAATATTATAAACTGATAAAACTGTTGTACTTAGAGAATTAACAACGGTTTAAACAATTCTGTTCAAGCATATGTTCACATTGTACTTTGTGACAATTGTTCAGGTAGATTTGACGCGGTGGTTCATCACGATTATTAGTATGAAGTAAGCACTTCAGATTTTGACAAAATTGGCCTCTCACCGCGGACATTTGTCAAATTTATACAATTTTATTAATTAATTAATATTTAACTTAATAATTAATGAAATACAGTTTGATTTTAATAATAGCTACTTTTGGGTCCACTACTTTTTAAGGCGAAGTTCGACATTCTAATTTTTCCTTATTATTTGAAACATATATTTCATTATAATATGAAGGGGTTGGCTCAAAATTTAACTGTTTTTGAAAAGCTGTCACACAAAAAAGTCACGTTTTTTCGATTTTATTAAAATGTACATGTTCGAATTGTTCCCTTTTAATTAATATTAATTTGAGAAGAATTTTAATTTAAGTTCGCTTATCGACAAATTCATCAAAATTTAGATATTTTTTTTTAAATCTTTTCTCGATCCAAAATTTTAACATTCTCAACAAATGTTTTATGTGACATGACTTAATAATAGGAAGGTTTCTTTTTTAAATTCTGTTGGCTAGTTTTATGATTTCATTTTTTATTGTTTGGTCACGTGTGTGGGTCACATCATGCATGTTGGTTTAACCTATAATATACGGTAGATCAACTTCAATGAATCGTTGAAAAAATAAATAATCCTTTCTGCCAAATAACATGAACCTAGTCTCTGATTACATCCTTATATAAATTGCAGATGTTAACCTACGAACAGTGCAAACGGAAAGAACAAAAATGACTTCTGTTTTTATTTATTCATTTGGTGGGTGGGGGTGCCGCAACTGTTGAGGAATTATCACTGTTAGCCAAAGAGTTCGAATCCAACGGCCCTCTTCGAGCACCACACATAAGTCAGGTGAATTTTTTTAGATAAAAAGTAATATTACTTCTTTGTGGAAATTAATTGGTTGAAAATTTGCTGATGGCAGTATGTTTATAAAAAAAACCGCGCGTGCGTAAGTGTGCACACGTCTGTCAATGATTTTGACTGGTCAACAAAAGTGTTTCGGATTTGGATTATTGTTATCAAAACATTTCATAAAATCAAATAAATGATTGAGATCTTGATGAAAGGATTTTTTTTTAGAAAAATAAAGTTTGACTCTTGATGCTTGTATGTTTACTCTTGTATATGTTTTTCGCGGGGAAAAATGTAAACTAGAATTTATGATTTGAAATAGTATATTATTAATATTATTCGGACTTTCACCTCGAAGGGTTGTCATTCCCCGATATGCTGACCTTAGTGTCTGTACATCAGGAAGTTCACCTACTCCGTTATGAGCCTGAGTCGTTAGTGTCTCGCCATTTTTCATCTCAACTAAAATCCTTAATTAATTGAAAGATATTAATCTGTCAAGCGGACCACGAAAACTAGTGAATTTAATAAGTTAAAATGAAGTATATCTCCACTAAAGCTCTCCGTGGTCATTTCATTTGTCGCCGAGAATCAAATAGATTACGACATTTGAAAAAATGGCAAAAAGGAGGGAAAATCCAAAAGGTGGAGTTGAAATGGGAAGTTAATGTCCGAGTGGATCGAGGTCACGACAGTTCAAGTGGTAGAGCAGCGGCGTATCTAGCCGAAGATCGTGGGTTCGAACCCCACTCGTGACACTGACATTTTTATCTCAACTAAAAACCTTAATTAATTGAAAAATATTATTTCAATATTTATCATGAAGGCCGATACTACACTAAACAATATAGAATTTTATTACCAGATAACCAAAAAAGCTCGTGCAAGTTTAAAGGGTATAAAAAGTTTTCACAATAAACAATTGCCCCAATTCGTTTATAAATTTTTTATTCGTGGAAATAATGTTCATCGTCATTTATAACCTTCTACCAACGAGTTACTAGCCAAGAAATGCCCTTCTGTAGAAGTTTTGATCCCAAGACTTAAAACAAAAAAATTGCTAGTTTCCCAGCTGTTGGCTGTTATCGACCTTCCAATTGCGCATATGATTGTTCATTTCAAAGAAAAAATGAAAATCCGATGGGCCAGGTCTGAAAGCACGGAGGGTGTGGTAGGACTTTCCAACCTAGGTTCAGTATCACTTTTGTCGTTCTGGCTGTATGAGTCTTGCGTTGCATTGGTGAAAAATTAAACCTTTTTGTTTACGAGAGCTGATTGTTTTTGGGCCAGGGGAAGAGATGCTCAAGCGCTTGCTTGAGTAGATTTCTGTGGTGATGGTCCGGTCACGTGACAGTAGTTCATAGTTACCCCCCCCGTACTCCACCAAACACAAAGCATCGTCTTTGTTAATGAATATAACAGTACAAAATAAGTGTAAAAACAAAACTTTTTATTGACTATCAGTTGTAAGCTATTGTAAACAGTTTTACATTCAAGTATCTTAAATTATTTGGAAAAGAAACGATATTGAACTGTATTATAAAAAAATAGGCAGAGCACGGGGGATACAATAGCTCTTAAAGGGCGCAGTATACTATACCCTGAAATTACATCTACATCTACATCTGCATCTACATTATAAGTAAGGTATATTTATGCCATGTTTTACGTGAGAAAAATAAAGGAAAAATTATATTTATATGGACGAGAAATGAAGGTAAAAAATATGCCAGAATAAATACTGGTGGTTGTCGCTAATGAGTTATATGTGTATTATATTTACTTGGTTTCTATACAATTTTAGAAATGCAAATTATCCACAAAATTATCACCCAACAAATCTTGTCTATACGTTCAAAAATTTTTGAAAACTGAATATTTTTTTATTATTTGACCAAATTTTGCTAACAAACAACATTGAATGATTACCATGTTTGCCATGGTATTTTCTGGTTAAGTTTGTTAAGGTAGTTAAAAACTAATATTCTTGTAATTGGTCAATTCCATTATTATTTAAAAGCAAAAATAAATTTGAAAAACATATTAAAATTCTGTTGGCAAAATATAGTGAATCCCAAATACCAAATATGGCTTATCAAAGCTTAATTAATCATATTCAAAATCTCTCTACTGGTGTTCAGTGTATTATTCTGTGTTTTCCTTTTGCAGAGACTAATCTCAAAACTTGGCATACATCTCCTGAAACAACTGATCATTAATGTTTACCATGACTGATAAATTTTATTCTAGCTTGATTAGCATTTTTCCTTATCGTACAACAAATTATTTTTAATCGAGGAGGAATTCATTAGGGCCATTTTGTCGGTTAGCCCAGCAGAAAACTTGTTTTCAGATAAACATAAATAAATATAAAAGTATTGGGCTCACGGTCGGGTAAGGAAATCTGCAATATTTCATCAACCCTGCTTTTCTTTCGATAAGTCAAAAATAGACTGTACACAGAGTTTTTCACAAAGAGACAAAGTATTTATAGGTTATTTGTAACGGCAATTTTAAATTGTCCAAACATGACGCGGATATTACCCACAAGAACTTAATCGCAAGGTTTTGCACTAAAATTTCTAATTTAAATTTTACCGATAGGCGATCACGAAATTTCCGGTTTTCCAGTTTGCCCCCCCCCCCACTTGGTTATCACGAAAGTTCCGCGTTTGCCCAAAACTACTATTTATGCGCGACGGCTATCGCATGCAACCGGCACAAAAGAGCACAAAGTGAATTTTTCTCGGATATTTATTGCAATAATAAACTATTATAATGTAGACATATTATTATATTAATCGTTAATATTTCGGACAACCATTCAAAATTCAGAAATTGTACTGGAATAATTTCAATAGTTTTTTCTACTAAGTAAAAGTATTTTGTTAAATAGAGATAGATCAGAAAGTAAACAGAGCACTTCCTTGCAACATTATAGACACACGTGCTTTTTACATGGATGTTGACCTTCATTTCAATGGACTAGGTTATTCATCTCTCCGGTATGTGCAATGGCCAGAAAGTCACAGCGTTAGGGAATAAGCAGGGCGAGGCAAGTCTCTGGCTGTTACTAGTCTTTTATTATCCATAAAGGAGTGGTGTAAATCATTTCAATCGGTCTAATTCTGGTTGACTAAAGTGTGATGTTTTAATTTTGAAACTCAGATGACAACCTTCAAGTTAATTTAAATTCCATTATTGTTGTTATTACTAATTGCCGTTTCCGAATGATTGGTGAGTAGTCGATTAAGGATAATTACTAAGGATCCTTTAACAATCTGATGCTAATTAAAATGTAAAGGTGTTAATCCAAATAAGGAACAACTTTCAATATGTAATAGAGAATTGTAAAGCATCAAAACAACTTTTAAAACAATATACACGTAATATAAATCTAAATTGTACAAATGTAAGTTGGATCGACGACCAGCATTTAGCAAGCACCATTGTCTTGGTCTTATTGTTAGTTCGTTACAGTTTTGTTTTATTTTAAGACCAGAGAAATATATTTGGCAGAAGCTAAGGGAACAAGATATAGATGATAATTGATAGGTAAACCAAATTTGCTATGGATTCAATCAAACTGGTCTCTTTAGCAATGAAAACAGAGTCTAACAACCTAACGCTGACAGCAATTGTACACATTTAATGATTCTGAAACGCATTCATACTATTTGTAAATTCAAGTGTTATCCTTGGTGCTTTTGTTTTAGAAAGTATTTTTTAAATAAGAAACATAGCTTTTTGAATTTTTAATAAAACTTTCATTAGAATTTAGGTTGTTAGAAAATTTGTACCGAAGTTTAGTTTTTAAATTAACCTTTTCCGTGACATCCCTATTTCGATTAAGTTTGTGGAAATGTACTAGATCAACACGTCTGCGGTTTTAACTACAATCAAATTCAATTTTTTACGCAATTAGTTAGAGATTTTTACATAGTTGATACAATTTGTTTTTCATCATTTCAAATCCATGATATATTTACGC